CCTCTTGAACTTCGTTTGAACCTTCTGTTAGTCTGTGTGGGTGAGCTAGTGCTAAGAAAGTTGTGTAAGAGGGATGCTGTTACCTTTGGTCGGTTGGGGTACATGTTGGTTGTATGGTACATGTATTTACAGTGGCCGAACTTTATCCTCCATGGTCATTCAAAATTCCATGATATTTACACACCTGGACTATCTGTAATACGAGAAATTTGTGTACCACGAAGTAGTCTACTTGACTGTCCTGCAAATTAACCATACAGAAAAAGCTCAGCTGTAACACTCTTTGGGCGCCTAGCTGCCATGCCACTCAAAGGAAGCACCTGGACCGAGATGCTGTCAGGTTTCCTAAGCAGTTGAGCTTCAGGGTTCGGTTTCGAACCATCGAACTTCCGGTCCGTAATTTCGCGCCTTTACCACTGCGCTCTCAACATAACCATATTCGCTTATACCCAGTCAAAATTCACGACTGCACTTAGCATACGCTAAATTTAGAGATAAACCGTACTTAGAGAGCTACCTTACAACACTGTGCGATCTTCATACTAGTGAATACCTTTTTGAATAAACAGCCCCTACTCCTAGAACGTCCACCGCACAGTAGAATTCTTAAAACCCCTAGCTTCCCACATCTCTTCATTGGTTCACCTGACACCTGTCGATTCAGCTAAGTTTCATCTAGGATAGAAACTCTCCAACAATTTTGTCCGCACATTAGAATAATCGAATTCTCTGTTGTGTGTTTAACTGTTCAAATAGTATTAGGAGATTCACCGTTTTAGCGAAATACACTCATTTGCAAACAAATTTTTTTTTGCGAGAGAATTGCCTGGAACTCAGCTGAATCTGCAGTTTGTAATGTTTCCAGTGCGTTACGTATAGATCCACCGCTTGTTCTTCAGTGGTTCCGTGTCCTAAATCAATGATGTGTTGTTGGTCCACGAAAAGTCTGAATCTTTTATTCGAGACAGGGTGACCTTTATTTACTTCCGTCGGTTGCACCTGGGCTAGAGGTTACAAGGCTGCTTTCACAGACTTGTCCGCTATGTTAGTGTGTGCGGTGTGATTAGACACCCTTGCTATTTGTTCCAGGCTTTGCCTGCTCCAGTTGCCAGTCCCATGTTATACAAACGGAGCGATTCTCCCATAGACATGCGTCTTTGACCAGTGTGCTATTGGCGTCGTAGTTATACAGCAATGTTTAGGGCTATTTACTACGTTGTATGACTAGACCACTCAATTCGGTTACCCAACAGTAAACACATTTGTTTGCCAAGATCAGCAAAAAATCGTTCATAATTGATATCTTAGGGTGAGGATATTCTGATTCACACATACTTATTCTGTTCATTTGAAAAGGCTGATGCGGTTGGTTTCCGTAGACCCAGATCACCTCATAGCCTATTTGGAGCGGACTTCACTAAAAGACTTTAGAAGTTTTGTGCACACGCTGTGTAGTGAACAAGCTGACGATGTCTCACTGGTATCATGACGACTACGGGTCATACTACGCACCGACGTCAACTTCATTACCGTGCATAAGGGACTTGAGGTTGCTTGAGCAATCAAAAGGAAGTTCAGGGAAGATGTAGAAAACCAGTCGGGAAATGTCTTCAAAAATTCTCCAGTCTTAAGCCAGGCTGAAGGTTGCACAGAACTACTCGATGTTTACACTGTGCTTATGCAAGCATTTAATAGTGACAATACCCCCGTATCAGGAAGGTCAGCTTCCTGAAAGCAACCACTGAATGCCCGGAATCTACGGCGACTCTCAGCTCCGCTGGGTGTTGACCAGACAGACAACGCCCCCTCAATATGCAGCGCGTCACAGCCTTGCATCAAACCCAGACAGCGCGAGTCAGCGTTGATCAAGGACAGGCAACGCCTCTGCAATATGCAGCACGTCGCTGCCTCGTACTAAAGCCAGACCGCGTGCGTCAGCATTGGACCAAGTTCAGACAGCGTCCTTCCAATAAAAGGCTTGAGGCCATTGTACTTTTCGCACTCGCACGCACTCGCGCTCTCGCAACCACTTTTTTGGAATATAGCTATTGTGTTCCCTTCCGTGAGTCTTTTTCTCTCCTACACTGGAGCGGGTCAGCAGCAGATAACACAGGCCGGCGAATCAGCAGATATAACACCCCAATCACTTGTTTGTGTATATTAAGATTTGTACACCTTCCGATTTATTATTACAAACTCCCATGCTTTTTTTCAGGATGAAACCTCCCGTTTATTTTGTAGAGTTCCTCGGTGGAATTTCTAACGTGACCTGACGGGTATCGCAGTGCTTCGACAGCAACCTAAAGATGATTCAGTATCATATTACGGTGTCCCGAAAACCTGAGCTATCTGGTACTGTTCGGACACATTAGCTTGATATCGAGTCATCTGCGCATCAGTAGTGATATTCTTAGGTTTCAGTGGGGTCTGCCATGATATCTTACAAAAATTGTGCGAACATCTTAACAAGATTGGGGTTCCGGAAAGATAATGTTTTGCAAGTGCGCTTTTCTGTAGTCAACTCGGATTAGCACAAGGCTTCGTGGTGGTTATCTGGTCTGTATCTCAAGCTCAAACTTCACTTAAATCAGTTTTCTCCTATGATCAGTAGTCCCTTAATTTCTGGTGGGCTTTTGAACAGAGTTGGATTCAATACTCACAAAAAGTGCTTCAACATACAAAGCTTAGGTTTGAGAATACGTATTTCAATTGTCTTTGATGTGGGATGAAAAATACTTAAATGGTTCAGTTACAGTACCCTTCCGGTGCCATGCCATCGGAAGGAAGCATGACGGGTGAGATACTGTCAAGATTCCTAAGCTTAGACAGGAGCGGTCGAGATGCTGAAGTTGGGTTGGAGCCACGTTCGGGTTCGGCCTGTAAGTTCGTGCTGTCTCGAACCGTTTAGAAAAATAGTCTAGTTCTGAATAATTGACATCCCCCCTCCGCACTCTGAAAGAAGCCCCAAAAACTGTTAGGATTATACGCGCCAAAATCGAGGTGAGCTAAAACAGAACTAGTTGTTTAATCTTGTTGTCCTTTCTGCCAAGGCAGTCGCCTCGTCATTTGACTAATGGGGCTGTCTAGGTGGAGCCATGGAAATCTATGGACACGTACACACGGTGGAGTTTGTAATCTTGACCATGTTTGATAATTGAATAGAATAATAGAATTGTGAAGGACACATTCACGTGTATGCAATGCTCTTTCGTGGTCTTTCTATCGGAACTACACGTCTCTTCGTTTCCTCACCCTCAGCCTACACAACTTTGGTGTCCATTAGAATAATAGAATTGTGAAGGACACATTCTTTTGTAGTCTTTCCATCGGAACTACACGTCTCTTCTTTTCCTCACCCTCAGCCTACACATCTTTGGTGTCCACCATCTCGGAGCAACTCGATCGAGCCTACTGTTCGCGTTCCCGTGAGATTAATCCGTGGTTACTGTTGGGGCTAAACCAGAGTGACGAATTTTCACGTTCGATGGAGCTTGCAGCTCAGGATTTACCACTTCGACAAACAAGTTCAGCAGAATGTGATTGGTGCCATGCAATGGATGAACGCAACAATCAGTCGCAGGATATTGGCTTCGATCCAGTCGATTTGGAAGTGCTGGTAAAGAAGTTGCATCAGCATCGTCTACTTGAAACCCTCCGCCCAACACATTTGCTAACACCGCTACCACTTGGATTAGCCACTGTGATCTTACAGCATCACTTGGGAGTGACGAAGAAATCCAGTTTGCCTTCTGACAGTCTGCTTTCATCGTCTGCTCACTTACCGAACAACTCTCCGCTGCTCGGACTGGATGCGGTAGACCCAATTCAGTTCTACCATTGGGCACCTTTATTGACTACAAGCATGATGCTCTTGCGGCATTCCTCGTCCACCACAGTAAGTTCATCCTACTGTATCTTATTACAGACAGGTGTCGGGTAGTATTCGTTTGTTCTGTGATGTTCGGTGAAATGTCTGAAGTGAGTGCGATCAGTTGTTACGAGTCCGTCAAACCATGTTTGAATCGGTCGGCCACTAACTAGATTCGTTTTGGAGTTGAGATGCACTGGAAAAATGGATTGCAACATGCTGTAAAGAACCCAGATGTTGGCAGAACCAAATTACGTTGATTTCATACCTTTTTCGTTTTAAACCGTTTCAAAGACTCGTTTGGCTGTTACGTGATTATTTTGAAAACAACCTGGGATTTATTTTAGAGTGGTCCAATAGTGTTCTCTCCTCTGTATCTATGTGTGAACCTAAAGGCGTTTCGGTTGCGTGTGCGAGCGGGAAGTCCTTCTTGGACTTTTACCATAACTGATGCAGTTCAGCGGTGTTCTCTCTTCCGTCCACCCCCTTTATCCCTTGTATTGTATGTGTCTGCTCCTAATTTCCGTCGAAAAAAACTTTGGCCGGTTAGCCCCGCACAGAAAATCGGACGTCAACCAGGTTGTCATGCTGGCTCAGCTGGCTTTCCGTTCTGCCCTTACTCCAACTTCCATTGGCCTCAAGATCTAAGGGATTTGTGTAACCTCTCCAACTTTGACCCTCACATTGTCTTGCTTGACCACCCCTTGTTTTATTCCTCTTCGTTACCTAGTGGTTTGTTGCCTTCTACCGCACTTCAGAACGCTCGTGTTTGGATTTCAATAGTTTATTAGAGCAGTCTAGTTTTCCATGTTACCCCCTTCTACTTTTACCTTCCAATCTATCCAACGGGAGATATACCACATTTGAAATAGCCAAAACGCCCTTCTAAAATCAGCCCCCGGCTGCAGAAAATTTGCCTAAGCTTCTCGGGAAACACAAGTCAATTGCTCATGACGCTCGTTACTCGATGCACAATGGTCAATGAGAACACTGTCTGACGTCAGGTTTTCAGTGTTGCGCCGAACAAAGGTAATGATTTTGAAAAGTTTGCACTGCTCTGTATGTGTATTCATCACTGTGATAAAAGCAGATTGTGCTGAATAGGCTGAAGGGGATTTCATCATGAGCAGCTGTATTCCGGTTCATAATCGCATATCAAGACAGCATTTATTTCAGAAGAGCTTGGTAAACAATCGGTAGTTTTTACCAAGCTCTTCTGAAATGATGACTTCTCAATCGGTTCCAAACATTTTCCAATCGATTGAAGACAGCATTTAGTTTCGCTGCAATAGCTGTACGTATTCTCCGGAATTGAATTGTGTTCTGAAGCTCTCATGGTTACCGTCTTTGACAGCTCTGTAGGGCGTGAATTGAGGAAACTGATGTAATGTAATTCCAGTCCCTTGGAAGTTTCTTTTCCTATACTTTTGACAATCATTGCGTGGTTAATCTGATATTTGTCCAGCAAAGCGAAAGATCGATTTATCGCGTTCAGTTCATTGTTGGCTAATTTATGGCGGGACAGTTTATCACTGGATCAATTCATCACCCGATGATTTATTACAAGAAAATTTTTCGGTGGAGCGACCAATCGATTGCAGTTCTGTTCCTTAGTGGGAGCCGATTTACGTCACCGCTGCCTAATTAGCTTGTAAGTCGACGAACTCCTTTGCCTTACCCTTCCGATCCGTGAGAAGCTGAAGATTACCCACAGTTGTTCCACGATAACCCACCCTAACCAAGTGTGTTTAATCACGACTGATATGCACATCTACTTTCATCCCGCTTCGGAGCGAATCAATAGTTTTTACACTCATGCCGATCTCCAGAATCACTGATGTGTTTACGGCACAAACTCAACCATATTAGTCCGCCTTGTTATTCAACTTGCCCATCGCTAAGTCGGTCGATGGCAGTTGGGCAATAAGGCAGATAGTCCAACTGCTATCGATCTTCTGGCAAACTCAAGTAAACCCAAACCTAGTAGATAAACTTATTCGCTTCTCGATATGTTCGTTTTTATAAGGATTAACACAACTGACTGTAGGTGATGCTCTGACAGTTTGATGAATGATCTAGCTGTGCATAGGGTACATAAGGGACTTGTTTTGGTTCTCAGTGAACCTAATCGTTGTGCTAAGTCTTTATTCATACGCCTCCCGAACACTGTTAACCAGTTATACCTCTGGGTATCCTGCACAGAAAAGGTGCGAAGGGATAAGCGATTTGCTAATCGACTTGCTGAAAATGTAAGCGGTGTTACGAATGCCGGGCTGGGCTCCATGCCAATCACTCATCAGCTTTGTCTGCTTGCTGGTCAAACCACCTCAGCTGGTGTGGCAAATTTGCAAGAAATCAGGTGATTTGAAAATTTCGAAAAATAAGTGCACAAGTTTGTTGCACAATGCAATCAACTCAATGGAAACACGTGAGGAATACCCGCACTTGCCTTCGAAGCTGGATTCCGTACCTATATTTGGGTGTATAGTGAATGTAACCATAGTATAGCTTGACGGATAACGTTATTGAGGGATAATATCATATCCTTAAGACATGATCTGACTGGCCCCCCTCTTCTAGGTTGTAACCATAGTATAGCTTGACGGATAACGTTATTGAGGGATAATATCATATCCTTAAGACATGATCTGACTGGCCCCCCGCTCTCTTCTAGGTTCCAGCTGCGCACCTCTGGTGATGCGGTGGCTGCTGCGGCTGGATATCCCGGGGGTAGGAATTGGATTGAGCGACCGAGAAAGGGCGTCTTTACTTGACTAGGTATCCATTGGTAGTCGCCTCTGAAAGATTCGTTTGTCAAAGTCTTTGAGAGAATCTCGAGAAAATGAGGTCCATCACACCCTGTTTATTGTATACCTACGCCCCAACGCTCTGGATCCGCCAAAAGCAATTTCTACGATGCTCTTAGTGTCTTTTTACAGCCTACTAAAAGCTCAGATCTCGTTGTGGTTGTTGGTGGCATAAGCATTAAGGTAGGTGGACAAAGTGTTGCTGAGGCTTATTTGGGTGGTCGTCTTGGGTTGAACAGGAGACGCTGCAGATGTCCATCAATTATAGACGGTGCCTTTGCAGCACTAATTTCCGGAGCAGTGGGGATCACTTGACAATGTGGTGCCCACGAACGGACCTGTGTGGCGCTTTAGATTATCTGGTGAAGCCTAAATGAAAATAGCTGACAGCAAATGTCGTTTGAACATCCTAATAAGCTTCCTTTCAAGTATCTGTTTGACAAAATCGGAAAATCGGTTGTACTAGATTCCTTTGCACGTGACGCTTGGTCCTTTTTAATGCAGGCTGTCCCAAGTCGAATTCGGAAAATTTTGAAGTTTGTGGAACAGAAAGTCAGCTTCTTCTAATAACATGCCGTTTGATCTTAGTTTTTCTCTCTGTCGGATAGACAACACTCTGAATTGCGTTTGATTCGTAGAAATAGGCTCAGAGAAGTCTATGGCCTGGGTTCACCTGCGACATCCCTTTGGTGGTAGATATTTAACCCGAGCCTAGTGGGTTTGTTCATCCGATCCAGGAACTTAGATTATCGGGCGCATTCACATCTTGAACCAGCTTTCTAGATGAAGTTGTCTGTTTTTGGAGTCTTTATACACTGCCAAACTGTCCATCGATCCCTTTTATGCTCTCTTGTTATTTTTTGAGCTGCAAATCGTCTTGTTTCTCCTTTGTTTTAGTCTCATCGTGATTAGGGTTTAACAACTCCGTAAAAACTACCAGGGGGTGAGGGGGTTACTAAACTCACTTCATTAAAAAAGAACTCATTAAGCGGATGTCGTCACATCCAAACAAAGCTCGGTCGGAAGCGGCGAGTAGGACGGTCGAACAATCCGGTTGTCTATTTCAGGCGTCTCAAAATAAACCACTTTTGGACACTTCAGAATCCTAAGCCTTTGGATGGTGCTCTCATAGAGAAACACACCAAATCCGCCCACTCGTAACTTCACTGGTCGTAGCATTTCTTATGAATCGGCGACATTGTTAGAAGCCATGTTTTTTAGCTGATCGTTTTTCTGTTTGTTTGAACTTCTGTTTGGCCGTTTTAATGGCTCAGAGTACGTGAATGCGCATTTACTATGTGGATTCACTTCATGCTTTATGCGACAACCCGTCGGCGTACGTGCCCATATTCTGATGTCAGAATTGTCGCGTTTTGGTTCACGTTTATTCGATCGTAATTATGACATTACTGCTTCCGTGCTCAGCTTTGATTTTTTTCCTCCTGACAAATTTCACTTTGCGCACCATCGTTCTGCGGAATTTATATCTCCAAATTTTAGTAAGTGTACAACTTTTGAAACCAGATGTCAGGACGTGTGTTTAGGAATTTTCGAGTATTACATCGCTAATCCCAGAGGGAAATCAAATTTTCTGTCAGGACGTGTGTTTAGGAATTTTCGAGAATCCCAGAGGGAAATCAAATTTTGACAGTGTTCAAACTATTGGTAGCCCGGTTGCATTTGTTAGTTGTTAAGCAAGGGGCTGCTGGTCTGTCTCTCTCTAACTTAGCTGTTTGCAAATTTTCCTCAGCAGTCAGAGGGACATCTCCAGTGACCATGAGAACAATCGGGTAGGAGCTATGTCGTAGTGTCCTAGATAGTGACTAAACAGAACTAACCAACTTCTAACTGCCTACGTACTGAATTGACCAAAATCTATTGAGCGCTAGCGCATGGACGTATTGAAGCCTGTGTTTGATTAGTAATTCTGATGGTTCCAGCCGATCGATCGTGGGTGGAGTGAACGAGACTACCCCGATCAATAACATGGATGGGCTCCCGCTTTATGATTGTCAGTGGGCTGAATGAAGCATCCAAACTCATTGATTACTTGTCCAACAACGGATGCGAATACGGTCCCCATTTTTGGTGGTTCTGGATTATTGGGAGAACGTACTCCTATTTGCCCTAGATAGACAGAACATACTTAGATTAAAAGGCTTGTCTGGTTGACCATCAGTCTACTCATTCAACCATTCTTTCCTCTGGATAATCACTCGTCATCTCACCACTAGTGTGTAAAATCTCGTTCGAGTCTTCTGTGATTGCGTAACCCATACCTGATTGGATCTTTCAAAAACAACTAGGAAGAAGCGGATGACACCTTTCTCATCTGAGATGATGTTGCAATAAAACCCTCATATATTTTCGCGAAATCCAAGAAGATGAACTTATATAGGAAGATCCCAATGGGAAATAACCAGGCAGTCCTTTTTACTACCTTCACGTGAAGGTTATCTGTCTACCGGGTACTTACTACATAGATCCAGAGGCATGACTTCACATAATTCCATTGTTGGAATTCGCCGAATGGAAGTCAGGGAATAGTAGTCCATTCATATGAGGTCTTTTCCCTGTCCAAAAAATTTCAAGCCTATTCTTATTTCACTTCCCACTATGTTCTAAACTTGACATATTCCGTAGGACTGCCAGGCCGACCAAACGGACAGGACCGTGGATCACTATGTTGACCACCCGAGTTCGAAATCCACATGGGTGCGTTCAAATTGGCTTCCGTCCACAATCCGGACAAGCTGTAAACGTGGTGCTTTAGGAACTGTGAAATAAACTCTACAGACATCGGTTTGATATCTTTTTCCGGTAGAGAATCCTGTTGGGGATAAAGTTCTGAAGATGTCTCTCATCGTCTTTAAATTGAGAAAGACACCATTTTCTGAAGCAAGCAATTCTCCAAACAACTGTTCTGCTCCGCAAAGTTCATCTTCACGAAAAGTAGTAAACCGGCTTTAATGTGTGAGAGTCCCAACATCATTTGATATTCGGATACCATCGAAAACATCCATGTCTTTTATTGGTGTCGCTCCGTTAACCTCGACTTTGCTTTTTTCGATCTGAATGGTAGTTACTCTTCCTCGCCCAGCGTCGATAGTGCGATGCAATCATGCGATGGCTCTGTGTGCTGCAGGCAGGACACCCAGGTTTTTATAGTGTACAACAGAATTTATTTAGCGTACTTGTATTGACTAGTCCACTGATCATGCACTTTTCACACCACGAATATTCAACTATACGGAAGTGTGCATACTCCAACGACCTACCTGTTTTCTCACTCGACTATATACTGTGTTCTATCCAGAACCGAACCACATTCAAGACTACTTTTTGGCTACGCTTCCAATGCTCCAAGTAGCTGGTCCATTTTCACTATGTGTTTCCACTGTTGTGTACAAGTTTATTTCTCATAGGAAGAATAAAAGATGTTGGATAGGCAACAGCTCGTCTTTCTGTAGAGTATGACTGGACCATCACCGTCTTTCTGATGTAGAAAACATATTCATATCATGCTGACGGAAATTGACATAACAGTAATTTGTTGGGGTAAGGAGTGAGCTTGTCAGTTTGCCTCTGAGGTGTCGGTTCCCTTTCACATCAAATCTAACATTCACGCTAATACATACGTACAGGTTACCAGTAGAACATAGTAACTAGGTAAGGCTGCGTTTCTCGCCAGTAGCCCAAATGACCGGTTCGGGTCAGAATAAACTCATGGCACGGCTAAGAATGCTGTCTTTTCTGGAGCCACTTCTAACTATCCGAGTTTCAAGTTTCAAGCGATCGGACTGCCCAAGTCACAGTTTTATCCACCCGATTTTGTAGAGTGTTGTGGATTTTCATGCGACTCGGAAAATATCGAATCAAATTTCAGGCCCCTCAAACTCCAAAACTGGTCTAAACTGATCAAATGTTAGTTGTCGGTTTGATTGTTCGCCCTTAATAAAATCTGGTGCCTTCGCCTTTTCCACACATTGGTTGAGGGTGGAATTTATCTGTCTTTCCACAATTCAATCGTGAGGGGGGCACTGCAATTTCAGAGTTGTAATTATAGCGGCCCGTATAGCACAAATTTATCAGCATGAAGAAACAAGTTTCTAACAGCCATTTTACTCGTTTGTTGTGAAAATATATGGGGCTGTCGTGACCGCTTAGTGTATGTGGTACCAAGACAGATTATCGCGCGAAATATCGTTCTCCTGAACTATTGCCTAATATCCTCTACCTTGCGTACTGTTGTAAGCTCTTAGTTACCGGGTTAATTTTGTAGGAAGACGAGTCGGCTTACTGATGCCACAAATTGCAACAACCCAGGAACCATGGCCTTGAGTGAGGTCTCCCCTGTTCTTAACAATAAACATAATGAACAGGTCGTATAACCGAGCGTTACTTATCTCTTTGACAGTACTAATTACTGTTTTAGCGGACTGCTTAGCATTGCCTTTTCCTTTAACCTAGGTCGTATAACCGAGCGTTACTTATCTCTGACGGTACTAATTACTGTTTTAGCCGACTGCTTAGCATCGCCTTTTCCTTTAGCCTCTCTCTCTGCCATTCGAGTTGTCACTATGTGGTGTCTACGCAACGATTTTTTTTGTTTCACGCAGTTTTCCATGCTTCCCACGGACTCTTGCTGCCTCCATTGCTCTCTCTCTGCCATTCGAGTTGTCACTATGTGGTGTCTACGACAGCAACGATTTTGTTTCACGCAGTTTTCCATGCTTCCCATGGACTCTTGCTGCCTTCATTGATAAACTAGTGAAAAATACAAAAATCTTTCATCTTAGTTGGTTGTTTCTCAGATGATGATCTATGTGACAGGTAGGTTTTCGCTTTCCACTTTTTTGAAATATCCCAGTCCTTCCATGAATCATTATTGGTTGCATCGGTATTTTATGAGTCCCTTGAAATGTTTTTCTTAATATTATCGTGCCACGAGTGTGGCTACAGCCGGTTTTGAGCTGTCGTAAACTGTTAGGTGTACGCACGGTCTTGCTGGCCGTGAACTACTGGGTGAAAATGCTGTGACTCACTTGAGTGTATGCTTCAAATACAACCATGTTACTTGTTACTCGTAGTGCACTGTGATACGGAAGCCGATCATCCCAATCCCACCACGGCCTCACACGGAAAGTCTATACAATCACCCTTTCACATTTTCTGACCACCAACTGCCTGAGGATCCGGCTCACCCACCTCACTTTCTTCTTGTTCTTTCCACACAGGAACAACCAACGACACTGCATCCAATTCTATCTCTGAAGCTTGGTAACGGGCCACTTTCTGTTCTACCGCCGTCTTCTCCCGCACAAGTTTCTCCCAGGAATGCCTGGCTTTCGATGACACAGTCAGTCAATCACGTGGTATCTTTGCGGCGTTTTCGGGTCCCGTGCTACTGTCGTTGGGCAATCAGTCCAGATCCTAAGGATAACGTTAAGAGATCTGGCTCCGATTCGAATTCTCCAAAACTTGCGTCCAACCTCCAACCTGATCGTTCCCCTAGGCTCTTTTATCCGTTTTTCAATGAAGTTCGTGTGAGTTTGAACTCTTTCAGTCTTTTTTTGAAAATTAGGGCTGAAATATTTAAGGGCATCCAGGAGAAATAGTAAGCGCCCATGCTGTTTATCTGGAGTGATCATTACTCGATCGATTTATCCGTCAAAACTTTGACCTATCCTTCCTTCACAATGCGCCGCAAACTGCCAGTGAACTTCCGACTTTTCCGTTCTTGAGTGTGTTTCCGAGTTCAGGATGCCTTGTATTTATTAGGTTTTATCTTGCAAGTGAAAAGAGGAGAGACTTTGTAGAGTTGTTGCACCCTTGTTTGGAGTCGTTGACAGTACACATCTCACTAATCTCACTAGACTCGAACCCCTGACCTCCCGGTTATTAGTAACAAGCTATACCGTTGTATTCGCCGCCGACTGTTTACCCTATTCGGGATATGCGTCCGGTGTACTATGTTGTAGCTATAAGTTATACACTAGAGTAGTGGGCGCCTCGGTCCGTGGTAGCCTTATGGGTTGTATCCACTTAATGTGTCCTGAACCAATTAGGTCATCATTAGACTACACGTCCGATTCATGTGTAAACAGATTTACTTGCTTGAAATGTATAAGCCAGATGTGTACCACAAGAAAAATACGTTTATCTTTATCGAAAGCCCACAGATGGATAACGCTTTCGCTACCGGAAACAGCCGTGCCCCACAACAGTTGATATTATCGACTGGTCATGGGAATTCAACGACTCATGAATTCACTGATAAAAATTCCCACTGCAAAGATGGGCCAAAGACTCCGAAGAGTGGTTTGGCTGGCCCCTGTATCACAGCCTCCTCAGACAGTTCATACGAGCTAATGGGATGTAAACCTCAATCGCCCGTCAGAAATAAAGTGGGAAATATCCGTGCTGGAACGTGGGAAGACACCAGGACAGGGCGGTCTGTATCCAGCCGTCTTCAGAGTAGGCGGAGAATTCCTGGTGGTCCATCCGATCAGACTGACTGATGTGATTTGGGGTGAACAGAAAGTTCTTGTAGAGGGGGGAGATGTCGACGGTCATTCCTTTCTTCAAAAAAGGTACGCGGACGCCGTATAAAAACCATCGTGATATCAGCCTGGTAGCTGTGGCATCAAAGGTGGCTTCAGGTTCTATGCTTTGAAGGTTTACTGAACATAAGGAAGATAGAAAATCAAGCTGGGTTCCGTCCTACAAGACGACCTATCGATCAGATCTTTACTCTCTGACAGATTCTGGAACAGTGACACCGCTTCCAGCACCCAACAATAGTTGTCTTCCTTGACTTGCCCCTGCCTTTGACTCTGTGAACGTCAGGCTTTGTGACAATCTTTATAGAACAAAGGTGTCCCCGTAAATTCTTGACCCTCCATAAGGCGCTCTAGGCCAACTCCTGTGGACTTGTGAAGGAGAGAAGCTCTCGCCTTAGTTCACTACATCAAGTGACATAGGGCAACGCCATCCTCTTTCAGCTCTTCTTATCGTTGATATGATTACGGAAAACTCACTATCAACCTTTAATGCTTGTGAGGTCGAAATGCTCGTAGGGCATTCGCTCACAGATATCGAGTATGAAGACTACATAGCTCTTCATAGATCTGACTCCGTGGTAATGCAAATAATAATAAATAATCTTAATAATTACGCCTCACGGTTTGACATACTTCACGCCTGCAATGTGTAAAGTGCTGCTGCAAGACTAAGTGGGCTAGAAACCCAACCTCATGTTTGCGGATGAGCCGTTTGAGGTAGTAGACACATTCACCTACCTGGGCAGCTGTATAAGTCTCGTTGGTCTAGCCAAAGACGATGTTCGCAGAACAGCTTTCGTGCACCTGTTTGGCGTAAGCGTGGCATCACCTTATCCGTCAAAGATCTAGTTTGCAATGCTGCAGTACACTCCATATTATCATACGGGTCAGAAACCTGGCCACTGCACGCTGAGGTCGTCAAAAGACTCAGTGTCTGACCACCGATGTCTTCGGAGCATTGCCGAGTCTGGTGTGAACACCGAATCAGTAATGCTGAAGTACATCGAATGGTTTTCGGAGGAAATAACTCGCCCACGATAGATGAACTGAGTTCACTCCATAGGTTGCGCTGGCTCTATCACGTGATCAGGTGGCGCATGCAACCAAGCTGTCGTTCACAATGCATAGCTCCCCTCCCGATCTCCCCAATAAACCATCCACTCTCAACGCTGTCTACGTATCGATTATATGAGCTGCCGCCTCCAATGTATAGCTACCTACCTCACCCTCCCAAATTACCGATGAACGAAACTGTGGCAGCTATAACTGTACTGGGGCAAGTACGAGGTTTTTACAGCCGATGGCGACGCCGGGGATGATGATTGGATGGTCAGCTGCCGTGACCATGCTCGAAGTCCACCATAGCATTCTTTCTGCATTGCATTTTCGTGTGTTATGACTGACCGATATCTCTTAGTATTTTAGAATGCCTGGCTTTCGATGACACAGTCAGTCAATCACGTGGTATCTTTGCGGCGTTTTCGGGTCCCGTGCTACTGTCGTTGGGCAATCAGTCCAGATCCTAAGGATAACGTTAAGAGATCTGGCTCCGATTCGAATTCTCCAAAACTTGCGTCCAACCTCCAACCTGATCGTTCCCCTAGGCTCTTTTATCCGTTTTTCAATGAAGTTCGTGTGAGTTTGAACTCTTTCAGTCTTTTTTTGAAAATTAGGGCTGAAATATTTAAGGGCATCCAGGAGAAATAGTAAGCGCCCATGCTGTTTATCTGGAGTGATCATTACTCGATCGATTTATCCGTCAAAACTTTGACCTATCCTTCCTTCACAATGCGCCGCAAACTGCCAGTGAACTTCCGACTTTTCCGTTCTTGAGTGTGTTTCCGAGTTCAGGATGCCTTGTATTTATTAGGTTTTATCTTGCAAGTGAAAAGAGGAGAGACTTTGTAGAGTTGTTGCACCCTTGTTTGGAGTCGTTGACAGTACACATCTCACTAATCTCACTAGACTCGAACCCCTGACCTCCCGGTTATTAGTAACAAGCTATACCGTTGTATTCGCCGCCGACTGTTTACCCTATTCGAGATATGCGTCCGGTGTACTATGTTGTAGCTATAAGTTATACACTAGAGTAGTGGGTGCCTCGGTCCGTGGTAGCCTTATGGGTTGTATCCACTTAATGTGTCCTGAACCAATTAGGTCATCATTAGACTACACGTCCGATTCATGTGTAAACAGATTTACTTGCTTGAAATGTATAAGCCAGATGTGTACCACAAGAAAAATACGTTTATCTTTATCGAAAGCCCACAGATGGATAACGCTTTCGCTACCGGAAACAGCCGTGCCCCACAACAGTTGATATTATCGACTGGTCATGGGAATTCAACGACTCATGAATTCACTGATAAAAATTCCCACTGCAAAGATGGGCCAAAGACTCCGAAGAGTGGTTTGGCTGGCCCCTGTATCACAGCCTCCTCAGACAGTTCATACGAGCTAATGGGATGTAAACCTCAATCGCCCGTCAGAAATAAAGTGGGAAATATCCGTGCTGGAACGTGGGAAGACACCAGGACAGGGCGGTCTGTATCCAGCCGTCTTCAGAGTAGGCGGAGAATTCCTGGTGGTCCATCCGATCAGACTGACTGATGTGATTTGGGGTGAACAGAAAGTTCTTGTAGAGGGGGGAGATGTCGCGGGTCATTCCTTTCTTCAAAAAAGGTACGCGGACGCCGTATAAAAACCATCGTGATATCAGCCTGGTAGCTGTGGCATCAAGGTGGCTTCAATCGATCAGATCTTTACTCTCTGACAGATTCTGGAACAGTGACACCGCTTCCAGCACCCAACAATAGTTGTCTTCCTTGACTTGCCCCTGCCTTTGACTCTGTGAACGTCAGGCTTTGTGACAATCTTTATAGAACAAAGGTGTCCCCGTAAATTCTTGACCTAAGGCGAGGCGCTCTAGGCCAACTCCTGTGGACTTGTGAAGGAGAGAAGCTCTCGCCTTAGTTCACTACATCAAGTGACATAGGGCCATCCTCTTTCGTTGATATGATTACGGAAAACTCACTATCAACCTTTAATGCTTGTGAGGTCGAAATGCTCGTAGGGCATTCGCTCACAGATATCGAGTATGAAGACTACATAGCTCTTCATAGATCTGACTCCGTGGTAATGCAAATAATAATAAATAATCTTAATAATTACGCCTCACGGTTTGACATACTTCACGCCTGCAATGTGTAAAGTGCTGCTGCAAGACTAAGTGGGCTAGAAACCCAACCTCATGTTTGCGGATGAGCCGTTTGAGGTAGTAGACACATTCACCTACCTGGGCAGCTGTATAAGTCTCGTTGGTCTAGCCAAAGACGATGTTCGCAGAACAGCTTTCGTGCACCTGTTTGGCGTAAGCGTGGCATCACCTTATCCGTCAAAGATCTAGTTTGCAATGCTGCAGTACACTCCATATTATCATACGGGTCAGAAACCTGGCCACTGCACGCTGAGGTCGTCAAAAGACTCAGTGTCTGACCACCGATGTTTTCGGAGCATTGCCGAGTCTGGTGTGAACACCGAATCAGTAATGCTGAAGTACATCGAATGGTTTTCGGAGGAAATAACTCGCCCACGATAGATGAACTGAGTTCACTCCATAGGTTGCGCTGGCTCTATCACGTGATCAGGTGGCGCATGCAACCAAGCTGTCGTTCACAATGCATAGCTCCCCTCCCGATCTCCCCAATAAACCATCCACTCTCAACGCTGTCTACGTATCGATTATATGAGCTGCCGCCTCCAATGTATAGCTACCTACCTCACCCTCCCAAATTACCGATGAACGAAACTGTGGCAGCTATAACTGTACTGGGGCAAGTACGAGGTTTTTACAGCCGATGGCGACGCCGGGGATGATGATTGGATGGTCAGCTGCCGTGACCATGCTCGAAGTCCACCATAGCATTCTTTCTGCATTGCATTTTCGTGTGTTATGACTGACCGATATCTCTTAGTATTTTACTCCAAATACCGTTTTCAGGTTATCCTGACATCTCGATCACTCTCGAGTACTCCCGTTCGAAACCCTCCCATCGGCCATGAATCTCGCTGTACCTGTCTAAGACTCTTGTCCACATTGTCCGCTCAGTGCACCCCGACCCATGTGCCACTGACGGCCATTCAACGTAATGATTCGTTTCCAGTCTCAAATGGCTACAACCACCAGCAAACCGTTTCGAATTGTGAAGCTACCATCACTGTCAGTCCCCAAAAAGCGGGTCATGGAGACACAGAAAGTGTTACCACCACTCGTGACCCATGCTGCAACTCCAAGTGCGCAGATTTCGCCCATTGCCTTCTTCAGCCCCATCAATGGACCGATCTGATTAGTCGCTACTTGCAGTTGGTGGAAGAGTTCGCTGTAAGTTTCCCTTGTTTCTAATCACCATAGGTCAACACAAATTGCTTCTGAGCGCAGTGCTGTTTGTCCTTTTTTTTTTACAAAGTTGTGTATATTCTAAAGTCTCCATTCGGCTGTTGAACAGTCTTTCCTTTTAAGCTCTATTTTGTAAAGAATTTGATTTTGGATTTTTCTAAGTTCAGGCCTTCCCAGACTAATTGTGCCATCATCCGTCAATTCATCTGTCTGTCTGTCTGTTGCCTTTGAGCCCGGACGCCGCTGTAGCCAAAACCAAATTACCCGTTTGTGCTTGTGAATTCCCGCCTGTACAACACGCCGACCGTAACACGTACTGATCGGCTATCTATCAAAACACGAATCACAGTGATCTGCCTGATCCCTCGTCGTCGGGAAAAAAGTGATGACTAGTTTTCCCCAGTTTAAAATAAATTAGTAAAAATGGTAGAGGCGTTTCGATTTGTTCCGAGTTAACCGAATTTTCAATTCCCATTGCGCACGTCGTGATACAAGCGTGTGCGTTTGTCTGTAGCTTATCAGTTTGCTTTCAGTGCTTCCGGTGGCGTCACGATTTGTAGACGCAAAATGCGTGTGTTATCTATTGGGCTTGAGAGATGGTCGTTCGGTGTATTTTTTTGCAAGCAACGTTTTTCATAACCAGCACTCCAGGTTTCGACATTGGTGTTGGACACAGCCTTGTATCTGAGGACTTCTCCTAGATTCTCTTAAAGTATTCTGATGAATATTTTACTGAACAAATCGTTGGTGCTATTCGTTCCACCCACGAATTCTGACCGTACGTGTTGCCCACTGCTAATCACTGTGTTGCATTCGTTAAGCCAACTGATTGAGCCTAGCTCACTTAACAGATCAGCCTCACATCTTTTCACCAGCTTTTTAGATAGCGGTGCAGTCCTTACTTCTATAAGTCAGGCTACACTGCACTAAAATTACACAGCAGCATGTGTTCTCTGTTTCGATAGTTTCAGTATTTTATGAAGCTTCCAGTCCACTTGTTACAATTGTCTCATTTAATCTGATTTTATTTTTTAGAAGATTCGCATGCTGGTCAAATATAATTTGTTTTCTTCTTTGCGTCGTGATGTTTGCGGATATCATTTGCAAGTTTTCTGGTGTCAGTTGGTCATGTTAAATTTGACTGTTTTCGAGAAATACACTCATTTGCAAATCAATTTGGTTTTCACGAGAGACTCAACTGAACGAGAGATTCAGTTGAGTCTCTCGTGAAAACCAAATTGATTTGCAAATGAGTGTATTTCTCGAAAACAGTCAAATTTTGGTTCAAGTAGATCATAAGGTTGACGGAAACTCAAGGACTGTGCCTACTTGATGAGCCCCAAGAAGGGCGAAACCGATCGTGAACTGTCGAAGAGTTCTCAGCAACCTTGTGAATAGTTTCCAGCATGATAACATCAAGTTTCTTCGCCGCCAAGGATGGTGGATCCGATCCCGGATTGGGGATTTTGTGTAATGAAAACCAATTTATTCACGAAACGCCGTTGCTGAAAACACATGAGAGGTAGGGTAGCAGCTGATATCATTGTACAATCCGTATACACGTCATGTATGACCACGATGATAACGTTACTGTTGACGAGGATGTTTTTATTGTTGTGTTTGGTAATGGTGATGACTGTGTTGGTCAGTGTGATTTACAGACTGTTGATGACAAGTGTATCGACACTTGGAATTCCCCAAGTTTATCCTGTCCCCATTTGTAACTCCCGCCCCACTTTTGTGTTTAGTACGTGTATATGAACTGGCGGTTTTTCCTTACGACTTCACTCATTTGGCCTTGAGGTCATCCAGCCATTTGTGGCCGACTTTGTGCACGTGTAACTGTCTCACGTGGGAGCCTGTTTGTTCACCCTGTTCGTACTTTTGTAGTCCAAGTGGACCATTTGTTTTGGACGAGTAGCTACTGTCGAGTAATGTAACGGGCGAACGGTACCTTCGAGTGACGCGTAACGCCAGAACCCTCGGGAAAGCAAAACAAATTCGCAGCTTTGTTTCCGGGTTTTGGTGCATGCAACAACCCATGATGTCGTGCCCTACAACCCGACTGGCATCATCGGACAACTAAATTGCAATCTGTGGCCATGTGGGAGTTTCCTAAGCAGACGAAGCATGCATTATGCCCCCGTATGCATTTCCATCTATCAGGAACTTCCACAGATAGAAAGCGCTGGCAGCCGGAAGTTGGATGCGGCTGTGAACATAATGGGCAGGCGCTTGGACCAGTGTCCGCGTCTGGCCTAGTGTTGCTTAGGCAATTAGTGAGACCATCCCGTCTAGGGGCTTGGTTGGTAGAACTTGGCGATACAGGAGGGCGTCTTACGTCCTCGAGCCAGTTGCCCAAACCGACTCCGTGCAACCCTGGAGCTCGTGTTCACACACTCCGTCAAGTCAGTGAACGTTGGGTCCCGGCCACTCATCGATATCTTATCTGCCACCTCAGCCTGTTTGTGCTGCAATGGCGAGGGAAGAGAACGCACGATTCTCTTTACAACCGCTAGTGAGTACAAGTCGGAGACGTAGCGCATTTGCGTTAGCGCAATTCCACAACTGCGCATTTTTATGCACAAGTCCGACAAAGACTTGGCTGCTACAGTGGTCTGTCGTGCTAATCGAAACAGGCTTTCAAGTAGATAGCGAGGCTGACCAAAGAGATTTCGTAGAATCTCCCGAGACCTGAAGTATGCTACTTCAGGCGAGAGCATCACACATTCTTCAATAGCCACCTTGCGCGTACGCTGGATTCCCTCTGTATTGATGTATGTTGTCTGTCAGAAACAAGGACGCAGGACGCAAGTACTGTGATCGAACTGACTGCCCCCTCGCTCTCTTCCAGGTTTAGACTGCGCACCTCTGGTGATGCAGAGGCCGCTGCAGCTGGATATGCTGGGGTGGGTATTGTATTGAACGAACGAGCGGAAGCGTCTCTGCTTGATCGGATACCCGTAAACAGTCGCCTCTGTGCGGTTCGTTTGGCAACATCGGTGAGGGAATCTAGAGGAAGTGAGGTTCATCGCACCTTGTTTATTGTTTCTGCTTACCCCCAACTGACTGTAGCTCTGAATCTGTCAAGGACAGTTTCTATGACGCTCTAGGTGCCCTTCTACAACAGGCTAAAAGCTCAGATAT